GTCAATCGACAGCTCCGACGTTGTGGCATTCAGTGTATATCTTTCTGGCTAGCTGCGGATTGTCTGTGGGGCTGTAATTGTCGATCCAATCGTCTCAGGTGATATTCAACATTGTCTCTCGAAATATTTCCAGCTGCTACGTCTGCGTGTCTGGTTGGATGGCCCCATTGTTGATTCGTTCGCTAGCCAGGACTCTCTTTGTGCCACCTTCCATCATACAATGATGTGCGTACGTGTAACGGCTTCTGACTACACGCCATGGGCAGATCGCGGCAGCCAATCCGATACAGTGCAGTGCAGGTGGAAGTAGAATTATGCAAGCAATATTGCAATGCGGTTGGTGGAAGCCCACATAACCAATGATCTCCTTTTGTACATATCATTTCATCGCCCTCACTTCTTTCAATAAACGAACTACGAACTACCATTCTTGTGGCCTTTTCCTAGCGACTCGTGCACGTGGGATACTGCGTGCAAGTGCCATTGCGGTGCAGTCCTTCCGTGATCGAATCCATGATAGCTGATCCTTGATTAGTGTCCTGTGATTCCTGTTGCGTGGTTCGTGTTCCGAATTCCGTGCGTATTTCTACTACTACTGCTATCAATACAAATTCACGTAAATATGTAAATATCTGGATGGTGGCCATCCCGGATATTTGCACACCAACTGTCTGCAAACTAACATTCGCCTCGTTCGTATTGATTTCAAACCGGAAGGATGTGGATAACTAACGCTCATTTTGCCCCCTTTATGAAACGAGATTGACTGAGACGCTCAGGGATTTAAATGAAGCTCACCTGAGCATCGTTCATGTAAATCAGGTAGTCTGCTTGCATTTTGGGGGATATTGAGACTGGTAGGCACTTGGATCGATTTGTGCTTAATTTCTGCGCATGGGATGGTGTTCTGATGGTTTAGATCAACGATGGAATCGTGAGTCAGGTTACGGCAGATATACACGCCACTGTACTGTTGCACAGTGAGCAACTAAAGGGTAAACAAACAAGCAGTTTATAAATCCGAATGAACACGTAGGTGAGGGCGCGAAAGGCGTAAAAGAACATGTGTTGATAACCGGATATGTTGAGATTCAAATAGATTTTGTGCGTATGAGTTTTGGAAAACATACCAAAACTAGTTTTACACGAGATTTTTCTTTAGGGTTTAGTACTGTTTAGACCGAATCCCGATCGCGACGCTAATACGCAGTATTTTTAGGGGCTCATGACCCTACACACAAGAGAGCGTGCAGATCGGAACCGGGTTACCCATTTAATGGATGACCGTGAGAATAGACCAAAGGAATAAACGATAGCCTAAAACTGGGTCAAGCTGACTCACGGATAAACGGCCTAGAGGATATTAATCGGTGTCTGTCATGAACCACTGTATCACATGATTAGACGATCAATGGGAACTGGTGGACGAATTCGTACGTAGCAAGTACAGCTGTTCTCTGACACACTCCATCAATACGTACAATGCAGCTCGTTCATCGGTATTCAATAGTTGGGCCCGGAATAACTAAATCGATGGGAATAATCACTTTTGAGTGATATATTATTGTTAATATGCCAATTTGTGATAATCGGAATTGTACTGAGTGTATGAATACGAGAACCCCGAGTGTAGCACTCAGAACTGGATGGGCTCCAACCCGAACTGAGGACACCAGTGAAAAGCACGGAGAATTTGCAGCAGCAAGTACCAATAATTACCGATAGAAATAGAGCATGTTTTATGGAAAGCATTAGGCCATTACATTTGTTGAATCTTCTTCCAATCACGTAACCGTTTGCGCAGACGCATCGCGTGTACTCACTCTGATGTATTATTCGCCCGGTGTACCACTGATCCAGCTTCCTTAACTTTGGTTAAATGACATGAAGCTGTGCCTGGTTGTACTTCGAATGCGGTCACGTATGTCTGGATCACGACGAAATCTCTCAGAGCATGTGGTCCGCTTTTCACAAGCGAAAGAACTACTTCAGAAAGATACTTATCCAGCCCGTTAGATCTTCCTATGGTGTTATTTTCCTTCCTACTGAGCAGCGTAGCAAGCCGTATTTACGTGTTGCCTTATTCTGCAATATGCATCATTTGTGACACGGTAAATTGTACAAGGCATGCATTAGTCAGTTTCGCCATACTCGCGTCACTCTGACCAACAAAGGGTTTGCAAATGTTGAGCAACTTATACTTGTTATGAACACGGTGATCGATACAGTGTACTATATTAAAAACGTATTGCTCTCAACTACCTACTAGTATGCTAGCTAAAATTATTGGCATTACATTTGTGAAGCGATTTGGGTTCCAATCAAAAATGCTTCGTTTAGGGACCGTGAAATTAAAAATCATCGATTGCAAACCTGGAAATTTTAGGGAATAGTTGATTCACACGTGCCTGTTGATTTCCGGAGATTTTAGTGAAACACAGTTTCTTATGAGGAATTAAACTAATATTTTAGTTTAGGAAGAAAATAAAGACTAACCCAATGGAGTTTGTTTTGGATCACGTTTGTTCCACAGATCACATAAAGCGTGGATTATAATAGTGTACTCACAAAGTTCTACTGCGAAAAATATGAACTCCTATGAATTACTCATCATTGTTGAAAACTATGATTAAGCGGCATCGGACTCATTGACTGGGGACATTGATTTTTGTCAGGACTGTCCACGATAACTGCATTGCGTTCCCATAATCATGTCCACAATAGGACACAATGAGGTCTGTAATAGATTGTAGACTTTGAACCGATGGAGACAGGGTGGGATCAAAATCTCTTCATGTGTTCTTTATTACGTCTCTGCATAACATAGAGTGACGAATAGTATAGAAAGATTTGAGAAGGAACCGTGAATTCCTCTGGCCCCATTTTTCGAACAATACGGCTCGACAACCTAAGGTGAATAGAAATACTCTAAATGTATGCATACTCTAATGCTTGCATATCCCGCAAGTGTCTGTGACAGTAGATCGTGAAACAGCTGCACGAAAAATGGATGTCTTGCAAATATAACGAAGTATATTTGGATGCATCATCTATTAAAGGAAACGAACAAAATTAACGAGCACTAAGAAATACTGCAATTGTAAAATTCATGGTTACCAATTATTTATATATCTCACCATACATTTCTGTGGTATATTAAACGAAAATAGGAAAGACATTTAGCGACTGTGATATGTACATTGAGGTCAAAGTGCGTGTATGACAGTAACAGAATCATGCAAGTGGATTCGGGAGTGCTCTCCACAGCTGAAATAGAAGAGAGCACAAGAAAGCCACACTCATGTTCCATCAATCTCTTCAAGTGGTATGGAATGAAAGAATTCCTTTGGCTGGACTGCCCTCAACAGCGTAGAACGGTTCACACTCGCGTCACACTCGGTTATCGGACAGGGGATTCGAGGGCACACATCACGAGCATGGATCAGTTGACTAGATTGCATCGTTTTCACCGCGTGAGACTGAATGCAGTTGGAACACGCAGTATGGCCCGATGTGCACAGAGTCCAAATAACCTTGTTCTCTTGATTCTGGACATCGTGATTAGTGGAATTCTGACTGGAAGTATCGGAACATATTTGGCAGCAAATCTCCGTTGATTTTTCTGTTCGGTTGTCATCCAAACGATGGATGATGACGAATGAATCATCGGAGTTCATACTGGATTCACGTTTTAACACGCTTCCGCTACTTTCATGTTGCTGTGGAGATTGTGAACGGGCAAAGGTCGAATGGGTACTGCCTCCACTTCTATAGCGAACAAAGTTCAAAAATAGAACAAATGTAAATGACTATGTCGTAATTCAGGCGGTGCGTATCTATGCTATGTGCAAACTGATGTACATACTATAAACATATTAGTTGTAGGATTGCTTATGAAACTTGTCACTATCCGCAAGGCTCGGGAGAGGATTTGTTCTTTATATCCATTTTTGTTTCGTATTATTATTTTCTGATTTTTACCCTGAATTTCACCTTAAGCAATCGTTTCAACCACTAATGTTTTCTCATTTATATGTCATTGTTACTTTATTTTACTGAGTTCATAATGATACACTTTTTAGGAAGGGGAATGCGGCCACTCAATAAGAGAAATCAGACAGTGGTGATTGTGGGACTCAAACACAATTCCTCTTTATAGTTTGATCGCGGCATTCTGCCTCATATTAACTGTTATGTCTAGCAGAAATCGTTCGCTTGAGTTAAATTCCTCAATATGTGACTCTACCGATGTGTTGATGCTGGAATTTTGTCTTTAGTCATAATTATTCACTCTTTTATTTGTTATCAGAATTCAACAGCTTCTGCTATTCCGTTAGTCTGATATGTTTCTTGTTTTGTTTGTCCTGAGCCTCTCCCGCGACACTAGTTGAAACCAGCGCTAAACTCAGATAGATTTCAAGAAGATACACTACTCGAATTCGATCTTCAGTACTGTTTTATCCCATTTTAAATACATTATCAATCAACGTAAATTTCTATTACGACCTTCCATAAATTAATTCCGAATTGTCCTAAAATACAGCTATTGACATCTAGATTTATTTGTTAGTTAGTAACTGAAAAGTTTTGTTTTACAATTAACCAGCTGGACCAATACGATGATCAGTTTTACACGTTTGGAATGAACCATCAGCCATATTTCATTAGATCAATGATCGACCCTGTTTTGTTCCAAATTAAGTAGGTAAATAAGCACACAACGAGTTCAGCAGTAATTTTATTGTGAACAGAAATTATATACCTTATTCACAAACCGGGGAACAAGCAGGACCGAACAACGACACCGGGTCACACGTCCACTACATGCGAGTGACGTCAAACAAAGATCCAAACGGTTATTCATTAGATCAACCAATTCGGCCAAATGCATGTATGACAAACAAATCAGTCAGTTATACGCCAGAACAGACCCCAAACAAGATAAGAATTTCAATCATGGCAAACTCTATTATCAGTTTCGTTGACTTACTCGAAATTTTCTACAGACTCCTGCACCATTGTCCGCCTCGCACGGGAAATCAGATCTCGTATATTGTCAAAATGAAAGCGCTGCGCCAAATCACACTCACGAAATCCCAATCGAATTTCATCCGAACAGTCGGTACTCGGCTCGTTTACCACAAAATAGTCATTGGTCAAATCTGACCCGAAATGAAGTTGGACGGTGAACATTCTACCCAGAGTAGTAGATTCCGTCTGATCAATCATTTCCTCAACTAAAATATATGCATTGTTGTTCGAATCGTGATGGTGTATAAGCGGACTGATTCGAATTATGCATATCAACGGGGTGAAATAGGACAGATATCTGACGCTCGCCTCGGGGTTCAATCCAAACGATTCAACTGCATTCTTGATATCAATTGGCAGGAGTTCGGGTATCTGAGCGGTAAACCAGTTGGAGTGTACATAGCCATTTTGGAGTGACTTTGTGATTTGAATTGGCAATGGCTCAGGTACTTCCACGACATCTGTTCGAACCGGGTTGATGGATTCCCGAGATGGAATTGTCGGTTGGTGTGAACAGTCCTCGGCATCGTTTTCGCGATCCCCCTCGTAAAATATTGACGGTATATTTTCTCCTGTAGTGAAATATTCAGTTTTTGCATCTTCAATATCCTCATAAATAACCTGGCTTAACTTCCTAAAAACAGAAATCCAGATCGCAGCTTTCATATTTATCCATAATTTGGGCATTTTAACTGGTCCCGCTAGTTCAATTGACGCAAATGATTTCACCAATTTTTTTCTTTCCGCTTTGGGTCTTACAACTTCGTTTGTCAACGGAGGCCTATGATGGCTTCTATGGGATCGGTGACGCTTCTTTGCTAGTGAGTGTTCAGTGCACAACAAAGACTCATTCTGCGTCGAGTACTGTGATCGGAGTAATTGATAGATATAGGATTTTGTATTCAAATGACCAGATACATCGGTGTGCAATGCATTGTCCATACTCAAACAGTTATGGAATAGCTTTTTGCTTTTCTGTCCAAAGAATGGATTCCATTCCGATACGAAGATGGCGTCATCCGAGTTTGTCCTTTCCGATAATTCCTCACACAGTTCCTCCAACAATAGCCATCGTTTACGTTTGTCAATTGAGTAGGGCAAACGGGGCTTAAGTCTAAAATAGTAATTTATTGATTAGTTATATTACTTCGGATTTTGTTGTCAGTAGTGAAACATACAAAGAAGCCATTTTTAAAATGCAAAAAATAATAATACAGCTGCTTGCAATATTTCTGCATCAATTAACCTGTGGAAAACTGCTTAAAACCCTTGCATTTGTTTCTGTGTTAAAGCTGAATTAGTCTATAGTTTCACGGATTCGGTAAATTCGGATTAAAGTGTAAGGAAAGTAATTAACCTCAAGTGAAAAGAAACCAATAGAGATAACATCACTTACCCCCGTTTTTCGAACGTTTCTAAGCGCACACTCGTATCGCCGTGCCACGTGATCACGGGACGACTGACACAGTAAGAACAATGACAATAGTTTTTTTCCAAATATTTGCCAGGCATCCTAATCTAACAGAGCCAGGCTCATGATGGCGAAAATTGGGTGGAACACTAGTGCTTATATATATCCATCGATTCGAAACATGCCAAGGTTACGTCGGTATTATTGTAGGCGTACGGTTGTCCTTAAAGAAAATAAAACTCTCTCTAACACGAATCACCCAATTGTAAAGAATCACCTGACTCAGATAATACATTTACAGTTGTGTGTTTGTCGATACCCTAGACGCAACATTTACTCATCTGTCTTAGCTACGGTTTCGATTTCGATATTTCATGATTTTCAATGAAGTTCATGAACGCATACTCATTTTGAAACCATCAAGTCTACTAAATACTATAAATAGAAATGTAATTCCACGATTAGACGCGGTCGGTCTATTTCAAGTAAGTATATAACAGGCTGACCTTTCCTTTCAGTTTATCACATATATTAGGGTTGATCTGATCATGTGATTGTTTGAAGTAATGAATAATAACTCTGGTTATCGTGCATAGCTTATATCTGTACTGATAATTTCATTGTATTTTTGGTTGTAATCAAAGAATTGCAGTTTGATTATGCTCATTTTATTGATGGTATGCGTTTTGTGCTGATTGGAAATATTTTATTATAACCACGGTGCTATATAAGAAGGAAATATCACTTCCATTCGACTGTTATTAAATTCATTGCCCGCTCTTCGTCGACGAACTCAAGTCATTTTAAATTTGTGAAATGTCAGTTACCTGTTGGGTTTACTTCCAAAAATGAGTTACGTGAGTGAAGTTGAACACCACCTATTTTCAGATGGTATTGGTTAGCATAACCGCGGTGATCCTAGCCTTCGATATGACGCATGCCATGGAGCGACATATTACAATTTTCGGACCAATATAATGAATCCAGCTTCCCAAAAGACGTCATCAAAGCGCATGCGTGACACAGCTTATGGTCTACATACCATGAGTCGTTTGTATCAGCCAATCAGAAACCGTGCAACCCAGACAGAAGCTGGACAACACCAGAAATACTAAAACGCGATTGGCAGAGGCCCGGATGACCAATGAGCTTGATTTGTAGATATTATTTAATGCCCCTGATTTTTTTCAATAAACGAACAGCTATTCCTGTTTTTTTCCTGGTATCTCGGTTACGTGGGATGTTGGGTGCAAATACCAGTATGGTACAGTGCCCACGCCTCGTTCGTGATTCGTATTTCGTATTCATTGCGCACTACTATTACTACGATTACCACGATTACTACGATAACCTATCCTCAATCATAGAAATGCTTCGGTAACGCCTTTCTCATAGTTAATAGCGAATATGGGTTCATGATGATGAAAACGTTAACTCTGCCTCTAGTTTCAGAGTGTAGCCATTAAAAATAGTTCACACAGAGACGTTTTTTCAATAATATGTTTACGTTGAATATTTAGCTACGCATTTTGTTTGAGTGGAATGTGACAGCACCCCAATTTGCTGACGGCACAAAACGACCAGTTGCTGAACATAGTTGTAATATGTTTGGGAGCCTAAGTGCTTCAGTACCGGTTGTAATGCTGTAAAAGTATCAACGACTGTTGCCATGCAGGCTTTAATTACCATGATCATCGTCAAAAATGCGGTTTCCACTTGTGTGGATATGATACCAAATGTCAAAAAACGGTACTTCAATGCTTATAATCACAGGGGGAATGAAAATTACTGATATCCAACCTAGCGTACATTGGTTAAATCTTATAACAATGACAAGGAACCCGCTGAACGGGTACGATTGGATGATCAGTTTACAGTAGAGAGGTAGCCCGATAAAGTGTACATTTTCGTACAGCCTCATCTCACAATCTTGCGTTTACCTTCATTGACGAATCAATGACACCCACCACTTTGCCTCCGCGATCGATATCAGGATGGGCGTTAAACATCAAATTCGGATCCGCATGGGTAACAGACGCATGTAAATCAGCTGGGGTAGATGTAATTTGATGAAATTACTGGGATCGTAGATAAAAATCAGGAATACTGAATGCAACACTACTTTGCTTCTAACTGCTGTTTTCTCTGAATGAGCTTCAGGAAAAATTCTTTAAGAGTTCATTGCGTCTCGTGAAAACTTGGCATGCTCGGCATTTATCCCAGTTAGGCTTATTTTTGCAAAACAGTAAACAAACTCATATCTTTAGTTTATGAACAAGTTGTTGATCGACAAGTGGTATTCCCTTAAGTTTGCAAGAATACTTTCTTATTGTGCTCACTATCTTCTTAGATTATTGATCGGAAATACAGCGGCAGCTCTGCCGAGGGTAAGCTAACAAAAACGTCTACGCCGTATCATCTTAAAATAAAACAGTTATAACTTCAAATGAATCCAACCAGTAGCATTGTACTGCGAACCTCATAAAGTGATTGGTGCTTCATACTTCGCCCATTGGACCGAATCTATCAAAACCCTATCCACTCGGACTGAATTGATTTCTCCACGGACAAACGAAACCCTTTTTGGGTGATTTACTGAGCCAGTTGAAAGTTTCGATGGGGTGGGATTGGGTCGTTCATCTCCTCCCTCAAATACACTCAAGGACCGTTTGTCCTTGACCGTTGATCAGGTGAACCTCAGACGAGAATGAACGAACCCGGTAGAGATTGACTTCTGTCAGCAAGCTATGGGACCCGAATCACAGCAAACTGGGTCGAAAAATCGCTCACCATGCTCAGGCATGAAAGTTGCCATGATTCATTGTATGAGCGGGTTCCATCTAAACCCTCATTAGACAATAGGCCGAGGCCCCCTCGAAAATCCCTTTGCGATTGCCTGCGGATTACTGGAATTGAAAGGCACACTTGGCAAAAGGCTTAGCAACGGTATTGGGATTCAATGTGTATCGATAGACCTTGAACTCAGGCTACGAGAACAAACAGCCGGAATAACAATTGTTTACGTCAAAGAAGTGAATCGACGAAACCTGAAATAAAACTGCGTAGAAAGCGGATTGAATAAAACAGAGGGAATTATAAACGTTTGCAAAATATCATTTTGTTCAATTTTCAAGGCAGCCGTATAATTCTCCAATAATAAAGTACTATAAAGCATCACATGAAGCACGATATTTAATCGATATTCAAGCAGTTGACAAACAAGGGTTATCTAAATTCCGTGCAAAATAACCAGCTTGTCCTAATGTTTATACTGACTCTAAAATCTACGGACGAATTGTAAGCCTCGTCTTACCAGTGGTAAATTGGCACCAAACTACTTCTTCATTTCTTGTTTCCTGCGCCCGTGAAACTCGATCGAGGAATAAGAAACATGGTAGCATTCGAGGATTTGGTTTGATAATATGCTAAAGTTCATCATATAAAGAGCAAATGAAACGTAAACTGGAAAGCGAAGAGACCGGGTGGCCGATTGGGTACCATGCTTGAGGTCCCGGGTTCGATCCCCAGTTGAGTAGATGGATTCGCACCTCTGAAAAAAACCCAACCAGCTCGAATAAAAAATATCGAATAATCTGAATTGGTCAAATAAGGCGGTTTATGTGTTCGTTAAACTTAACTCTTTCGTTTCGAACGCAGTATCTAAAGGCTGCAGGATCAAATGATCCGTATAATTTTGCTCCAACTCGATGTCTTAAGCAAGAGAGTTCAAATATTCCATGAAACTATTTGATACCACTGAGGTGACCTGACAGTCACTGTTTTTCCAATACAGTTGTTACGGTAAAAATGAATTTATTTGTGTGGAACAGAAAATTCCGTAGAACCGCAAATCCATTCGGCTAAATACCGATAGAATCGATTCGTCTTGTCAGACGTAGATTACTGGTCGGCAGTGCACACTGAACTCAGATGATCAGCATAAACATAATGGACCGATTCCATTGAAAACATTAAGGAATGGAATTTCGTTTGTGAATATTATTTCATCGTTCCCAAGAGCTGAATAACATTACTATCCGAAAAAGCATATATATATATATATATATATATATATATATATATATAT